TTCACGATAAGGAGATGTCATTTACAACCAGATCTAATTACTCAGTTGCCTTGAAAGCTGTTTCTGTCTCGCACCAAGCCCTGAGAGAGAATGCGCAAGAAACTCCGATAAAAGCAGCAACATTTACGCTTGTTAGTCGCAAATTATTCTTTGAAAATTAACCTGTTGATTATTCTTAAATTAAATACTTGCTTACTGAACCAAAATATAGTAGGATCTAATTACTATTCCATACTCGATACAACCTTTTTAACGACGTTTTAAACATGAAAAGAAGAGCAGTACGTCAAGAAAAAATTATGAGCTTTTGAAAGTAGTGCTACTGAATATATACCACTGTCTTCGCTTACCAGTATATTTTTTAGATACAAACCAATATATTTATCTCAAATAAATGAAACATGTATGTTAAAACCTAAAAAAATTAATTTCCAGTGTTAAAAAATTTTCTAATCTTCGAAAAAACCTCAATTTTCATCCTCGCACTTGTCAAAACCCAAACAAGAAAGATGTTTTAAGGAAACTTATCAAATTTTTAATAGTACCATGACCACTTGGAAGTCTATAAAATTGTTCTGGTTTTTGGAAACCCCCTTCAATTTCTTTCTCCCCTCTCTCCCCAAAAAAGTTTGTTTAATTGTTCTTCAACTTACATTCTTCTCAATCTGCACAAATTTCCCCACCTTTCTAAACGAACGCTTTATATTGTCCATCACAATGAATGAATCAACATCAGTCAAATATTTTCTCCAACATTTATTTGCAGAAAATCGAAATTGAAATTAAAATTAATAAATCAATGTTACGACCCCTGGCTACAGTAATCGTGATTATTTGTCAAACGTAAATGACAAAAAAAAAAACAGCAATAGCATTTCACCTATATTCTTTTGTTGTCTGTAAAGGTCTTTAAGGAAAAGAAAACAAAATTCTTACAAAAAATTTTCTTTTTTTTTTATTGCCTAAACTAATGCCTATTAAAAATAAAAAACTTTTTCTTCGTCAATGGAACAGAATTATGCAAAAAAAATTTGCAGTTAAAACAGTGCGCGCACACACAAATAAAATCAAAGGAAAATAACAATATCAGTAAAAAAGTGAACTTGCGTAAAAAAAAAACAATTTGAAAATTTAAAAAAAAACGGCTTTTTTTTTCAAGTAACAGTAAAAGAGGAAAAAAACAGCAACAACCCTTTTTTAGACCATTACTATAAAAATGAGAACAAGTCCAGCTCTAATGATTGTTCTTCTCCCTCTTCGCAAAATATCCACTCTTCTTTGAGATACATATACATAGATGTAGAGTTATGGCAATGTTATCATATAATGTACCGGTTGGCTTACCTTACAGCCTTCACAAGCAAAAACACCATAGTGAAAGCCAGAAGCACGGTCCGAACACACTTGACAAAGAAGAACGTGAGGGTTCATTGACGACGAACTTCGATCGGAACCTAAAAGTGAAAGCATGATTGAAGTGAAAGAGAAATTGATGTTTATGGACGGCAAAACGAAGGCAACAGAGCAGTAATTGCGCTGAATAACCTTGAAAAACTACAGGGAACATGAGCAAAACCATATAGCAATAGGTGACCTGGATTGCAAGGCCTCCGGGTCGCAAGGTCACATGCCGCGTGCACACGTTTGATGCTCTGTTCAGCCCCCTACCCCGCACCTCTTCCTACTTCTCTCACTTTTCTGTTTCTGTTTTTTACTGCCAGCCTCCTTTCACTTTAGATGCCAAACGCTGAATTATGATTCACCTTCGCTCAACTTTTTTACCTACTCTCATTCTTGTAAACTTGAACCAGACACTTTTTATAGAAAGTTAACCGCCTCCCCCCCCCTCCCCCCTTAAACCTGCTTCCCTTAGACTCAGCCAACATTTTGCTCTTGTTCTAACAAAAAGTTTACCTTTTTTTGACACATTTCGATACTCATAAAATTCGATCCAAAAAAAAGTTTGCTTAACACATAACATTATTTGAAACAAAAAAGAACAAGTTATTGCAAAAATTACTATTGAATATACACTATATTAAACCATAAAATTGGATCAACTACAAAAAATGCCCCAGAAACTTTTGAACCATAAACATACCATCAATACTCGGTGTACAACGATTCTTTTCACCAAGTGTATCTTCATCGGTCGACAGTATAAACGAATTCAACGCCGAAACAAAGAAAGCGTCAGATGTTGATGGGAATATCGGTTTAAAGGCAGAATGCGTACCGCCACCACCCGGCAGTATATTTGACGGTGATACTGGCGAAATGGTAATTGATGAGGTCGATGATGAAGCTAAATTCCCCACTGTAGCTAATGGACGAAGAGTGGGCACTGGTCTCGGGGGTATAGTTGATACAATCATAATCAGATCGGCAGCAACCGCGAAACAGTCGCAATTCAACTGTCAACTGGTTGAAAACGTTGAAGTCACCTCCATTCACAGCATACAAGGTCGATTATTCGTCTATTTCTCTTCCCTCTCTTCAAAAAGTGCAGGTCGAGGTCGTTCCAAAATTTTCTTTTACAAACTCCGTCCTCATTAAAAGCGAGAAAAACTTATATGCAGCATCAGTTGTGTGTTCCAATTTTCTAGAATGTCGTCGTCGTAGCTGTTATTGTTGTTGTTGTTGTTGCAGTTGTAGTTGTCGCTGTCGTCATCTATTTTTTTTAAAGTTGCTCTTCCTCATCTCCATCAATTTCATTAATCAGGCTAATACCTTCTCCAGAAATATCAGCATTACGACTACTAAGACTCTTTTTTGTTTCAATACCTGGATATGACCGTAAAAGCGTTGTGCCAAGGAATGATATTGTGATTGGAATAGCGGCAATTAATTTTACCACTGATGGAGTCTGCGAACGAAATGTGAAATCGGCAATAAACGACATTGGGATACACATTGACAACGATATTGAAGCTGCCAATGAACTGGTCAATAAGGTAGCTTGAAGCCACAGAAAATCTGTAAACAATGTACCAACAACACCGTTCAATATCAACGCTGTGAACTGGCGATAGTCCGGTAACGGCAGCAGTGGTTCAATTGAAAAATAGCTTAGAACAAATAACAATGGTGTGTAAAGCACTATGGTTAAGATACCAGCTGAACCTGAAAAAAATATATAAATTTAAAAAAAAAAGAACGAATTAAAAATAGAAATTGAAACAACTTTCAAAAGTTACGATTGTTTTTTCCGATAAAACCACAAGTCTTACATTTGAAAGGAAAAGAAAAATCATCATTTTTTTCCCTTCTCCTAATTTTTCCTTTTTTTTTTTGTTCAACAATTTTGAGGTTACTAACACAGATCCAATGAATCGATTTTTTTTTTTTTTTCAAACTTCAATTGTTCAGTCAGTTAAACAAAAAAATTGCAAATAACCCTGAAGATGTTGCACAAAACACCTGTGAATTTTTGGTAAAAGAAACTTGACAAAATCAGTTATCAACAGTATAAATCTGTCAAAAAAACTTTAAGGTAGAAAGTGTTAGTGATGAATGTAAAAAAAAAAAAAGAAAAAGCAAAAGAGAAAAACTCCTAATACGTTAAAAAAGTTTTTAGAAATTGTTGCTTAATAATTGAAAAACATTAGAAATTGCCACCAATCAAACTTAATTTCGGCTCTTCCAACAGTTTTTGCGAATATTCAAAAGTTTTTTTCTTGTTCTTTTTTTCCCCCCAAATAAATGACTTATTCACTGCCTTTTTATAACAGCAATAAAACAAAAAAAGTAAACCGTAACTTCTTGTTTCTTTTTCGTCTTGAATCCTTCCATCCCCTTCCCCTTCCCAATCAGTTTCAATAAAAACACCTAAATTGCCAACGCTACAAATTGGTGCATCACCGACTAACATTAATACTTTTTTTTCCCTTTTTTGTTCGCAAAATCAGCCCCTAAATAGAAGGTTTTTTTTTCTTCAATTTAAGTCAAGCTAAAAATGTAGGGCGTAGGAATGAGTGAAAAAGTGAAAATTGTCGTTACAAAAAGCCACAAATTTCTTTGATAGTTCACGGTCATATTCACTTTTCTTTCAACAGCAGCAATAAGAACAACAAAAACTACAAAAAAAACGCTTGAGCCAAAGTGAAAGTACAGCAAAGTTATTCTTGTGTAAAAAAAAAAAGAGACTATTTTTGTCTAACAAATCCACTCCTCATCTTAATTTTTTTCCTCATTTTTACTGCTGCAGCTATTGAAAGTGTGATAAGAGACTGGCAACAATAGGCAACTATGATAATAGAAGATGATAGAGCACTAAATAATAAAGGCATTCAGGCTTTCATTTATCATCAGTATCTATCAGTCGTAACCAATCACCAGGTTTCTGTTTTACTTTCTTTTATGAAACAGATAAACAAGAAAAAAAAATTATTATTTCTTTAGTTTACCCTTCTTTTTGTACTCTCCTGTTTTATCCTAATTTGATGCATTGCTCCATTAATTAACCCTTAAAAATAAGCAAAAAAAAAATTTGCAAAAAAAAAAAAAAAAAAAAAAA